AGTTCAGGGGTAAGTAATATATAATAGGTAGCCTGTTTGCAGACCCCCGACCTATAGCAAACAGATGCTATGGGTATAGAATGGAATAGTTACTGGGGGACCCGACAATTTTTTTATTTTTGTATTTTCAAACACAAAAGCCAAAAAACCATATAGAACAGCCAGTTAGCTTTCAGTGGTATTTGTTAAGTGCAAGTTATAAAAAGGACAGGAAAGGTTAGTTTGTATGGGAACAAAACCCATTTCTTCTAGAACTCCATAAATGGCCAAAACACTTAATAAAAATGGATATAAAATTTTTCTATGAACAGATACACACAAGTGGATCAACTAACTGTTACTTTTTGTCACAATGCAAATAGTTTGTCAACTCAATTTGATAAGGAAATATTGGAGACGTTTAAATATACAGTATGCAGCATTTCATTAAAGTTACTATCAAAGAATGGATTTAGACACTGGTAGAAATGTAAATAACAGTGCATTACAGGTAACACAGTGACTACACGATTGCCATGTTGCTTCTGTTCTTTTACTGCAGGACCGTATAATAATTACATAGTCACAAAAGATGAACTGCAAATGACTCCAGGCATATATTGTTACAGTTTGCATTTAAGAAGAATGTGGCAATTTGAATGTTCAGAACAAACCTACAGATGTAAATATATGTAAGAACCCTTCAAGCAGCATAGGCACTCCGTAGATTCTGACCCTGAAGCAATGGAAAATAAATACATAAATACAACAGTGCTTATTGCTGAATTAAAGGCCATGGTAAGCTACAAGGAACAAAAGCAATGCATTACAGCATGGGTGCTCAACCTGTGGACCTCCAGCTGTTGCGGAACTACATGTCCCATGAGGCATTGCAAGCTGCTGACAATTACAAGCATGACTCCCAAAGGCAGAGGAATGATGGGACTTGTAGCTCTGCAACAGATGGAGGGCCACAGCATTATAGTCTTATTTAGTAAACACTACAAAGAGCCAAATGCAAAGTTTAGTAACTCCTCATAACGAAGTAGAAGTCATCTCACCTAAAGGGTAAGCCCACAGTAAAAATGCACGTGGAATCTGTTTTACAAAGTAATAAAAGTTAATCTTTCCTGATCGAAGCATGGAGCTTGCCACTGCTGACTTCATTCTGAAAATGCAAGCTGTTCAAGTATTGTGCTGACCCACTGACTGCAGTGACTTGAAACAAGCATCAAGATCAGTAAAATATGATCTCCTTTTACTGCATCCTGGTTCCAGGTCAGTGCCTCGATGTCTCAAAGCTAGGGGTTCACTATGACAGCCTGGAACCTAGTATTTGCAGAAAGTGGTATTAACCATGGCATGCTTCTCTTGTAAAAGTATGCTGAGGAAACCTAGTATTTCTCTTTTAAAGTGTTTCCTCTGTGGTGCCTACAGTAACTGTAAAATGTCTACACATGGACAAGGCATGTCCGTAGAGCAGTGGCCTCCAAATTGCAGGCCTGTGCTTGCCTTTATCCGGCCCTTGGGGCACTAGTTCATCCACTGATACCAACAATCAGGCAAGTGACACTAAAGAAAGGGTACAATTCCTCCCAATGACACCAACGATGGGGCACAATATCTCGCAATGACATACAACAATGAAGCCCTAAAACCAGTGGTGCACTTAGGTTTTGTGCTGCCCTAGACAACACAAAAATAGGCTCCCCCCCCCCCATCCCACAGAGAGAGCCTGACATTGACCGACAACATCCCAGGCCTCCCACCTCCACCCGAGAGAGCCTTTTAATACCACCACCCCCCCATACATTGGCAAATGCCCCCCCCCCCCACTCTGGCAAGAGATAAGACACTCACCTTCACAGCTCTGGGCATCCCCTGGAACAAGAGTCAGGCTCTGCATACACCATTAACAGCCTGCAGCCTCTCAGATTCCCATGCTGCGTGTGTCCCTTCTTCCTCTCCTACTTTCATTGGATGGTACTGCCCCCCTGAAAAAAGCTGCTGCCCCCCCCCTGAATAATTCCGCCCTAGGCAAATGCCTTGTTTGCCTTGTGGTAAATACACCCCTGCCTAAAACCCCAATGATGGGTCTCAATTGCTCCCAATGGCACTAATGATGGGGCATTGTTTTTTCCCCACTGATGCTGGGACCTTTTCTACTCCTAATAGTCATAGTACGCCCCCCCCCCCCTATAGTCTGAAGGATAGTAAACTGGCTCATTGTGTTGAAAGTTTGGAGACCCCTGCCACTGACAATAAAGTCATGTATACATAATCTAATGGTGGCCATTATTCTCTGTAACTAGGCCTCAAACATCCAAAGAATTCAATATGACACAGAGTTCTGTAGGAGGAAAATGATATGTCTTCCCAAGGTAGGGAGTAATCTACATTTCTATATCAAAGAGGTATGTGCCTCGACGTAGCCACTGAATGTGTGTGCATTTCTGAGTTTTTGCTATAACAAAAAGCCAGACCTGTAAAAGATGGTTCCTGTTGGGTGGGTACTGCACTTTTGCCTTTACTAGACTTACTCAACTTATATAGTTATTCCAGTAATCTAAGAACTTAGCCTGGGGCTTTCTTTGAGGTGACACCTTTCTAAAGACTGTAACACAATCTATTCATTTAAAAGGCAGAATTTGTATTATACCACATGAATGGTACAAGGTTTTTCTTTCTTGTATGAACCTTTGAGCTTTGCTCCTTGTATTGTTTTTATTGAATAAGTCTGTTCATGTCAAATAGCAGCTTGCTCCACATGCTTTTGTTGCACAACTTCCAGTGACCAATTGCAAACTATTCTTCAGGAAATAGTTTCACTGTAGCAGGTAAAGGTAGCACTCTTCTGAAATTGCTAATTCTGCGTGTGCAGTAGATTACAGAACAAGTCTCTGCTTGCCACCCAAATGCTGCCAAATATAAATCCCTGTTAGGTTTGAAATCACCATTTAGCGCATTAAAAATATTAAGGTATGTAGTTGAATTCTTACCACATCCTAAACAGCCATTTTTCAAACTCAACTTATTAGTCCTGAAGTAACTGCAACACGTGCTTCACGGCACCTGCTTTATGTCATAAAAGTTTATGGAAAAAGATTAGCTACTAGTAATAGCTCAGCTTCACAAAAATACCTGAGGGTGCTGAATGAAAACCAGAGCCAAGAAAAATTGTGCCAACTGCCAATGCTAACCACTGAGCTTTCATCATTTATTCTTAAATGTGTACTGGCAAAATTAAACATATAAACTGAATGGTTGGTTTCAATATACTGGCCCCAGTTTTCTGTGGTTTTAGTCATACAGCTACAAATTTGCTTAGTACATTTAAAACAAATATATTTCCCTAGCAGATATGACAAATATACAACAGTTTTGGTAATTTCAACTTATTGTCCAATAGCTGAACCATTATTTGCATAATACTATTAATAAGGCACACTTTAGTTTACAACAGTCATATATAAATAGTCTTTGATATACTAATAATTTTCCTAAGGGGGAGGATGGCTCTGCCATCGTTACCCCCTACACAAAATGAAATCATTCAGTGCTTTACTCTCAATGCCAGGAGATCAAATGTATCACCACCTTAAGCACAATGTATATTATCATATGCTATAGCCTGTAAATATGTGCATAAATTAACAGAAAGGCAGGATTGTTCCTTCCATAATGTGTTGTCTTTGGTGGAACAACTATAAAAGGCAGCAGTGTTCATTTCCTCCTCTCTTTAGCAGTAGTCTATAAATCCATACATCTTTGACTTGTTGGTTGCAGTGGTTTGTGAGGTACAGCACAATAAGGCTGGCCATAGACGGGCCCTTTATCGGCCGAATTGTTGGCCAATAAACAGAAAATCAGTCGTTGCTGGCATCAATGCTGCCACCAATGTCCACGAAAAACGGCTGTTTTTCATGGATTTTCCAGCATGACCGATAAAAATAAACGAGAAGATCCGCGAAAAACGTCCGACGGACTGGCCCCACTAACGACATGAATATTGGCCAATTTTCCGCGCGGACCAGTCTATGGCCTGCATAAGGAAACCTCTTATCCCATTGTTCTCCAATCAGTTACTGAACTACACTACATATAGGCGAGACTGGTTCCTTTGCTGAATTATATTTACTAATATGTAAGTATAATTCATAGTGCATCGAAGCTTAATCAGGAACGAACAAAACAATGTGCAAAATACAGCTACACACAGAAATCTAGCAGAACGCATTTAGGGAAACTGGAGATCGATTTGTTTCAATGGGTTATATTCCTTTTACCACTTTATTGAATAAGCCTCCAGTTCTAAAGAAACTTCACCAGTAACAGTAGTTCTGAGTATGTACTACTGCTCTCCACTCAGTGCTCAGCCTATCGGTTCAACTTTATGAATGCATTCACCATAGGTTTCAAAGTGCCAACCACTGCACCATTTGCATTACCTGTAATCAGTGAAATTGAAGTGAGCTACAATCAGAATAAAAATGCAAAACATGCAAAAACTTCTACTGTGTCTGCACAAGGGAGCTCACTTAAAGATTATCAGTGTTTGCTATCTCCCACCTCCTTTTGAAAGCAGCGATTGTCAGCTTTAAAGTAAATTGTGAATGCCTTGGAATGTTCAAGACAGAATGCTAGAACACCCCTGCAGAATCCACAAAAAATAAATAGTAAAGTACAAAATATTCACATCTAATAAGAATCAGCAGGATCAGCAGGAAATGTTCACTAAAACGCCAACTTCATGTATTGAAAGAAAAAAAAAAAAAAAAAAAAAAAAAAAAAAAAAGAGGAAAGAAAGTTGAAATGCTTTCCTTAGCTACTGATCACATTTGACTTTCTAAAGGGAAACATACAATCATTAATTCTCCTCCAGTTTTTTGCCTCAGTTTTTTATAAATATATCCAAATGTCTTTTGTGAGACACATGGCAATATGGCAGGCTGTATTTTTATTTGTATAAATGTCTTAGAGTGTGTGAGGCACAGGCAGCTTTGGCTATTCCAGCATTTGTATCAATGTTTAAGAGGTGATAGATCTGCAGCTATCCCTTTCCATTCAGGGAGAAATGCTGCATCATAATGGAAAACTTTTAAGAATTCTGACTCTGGTAATGTGAAGTTTGTGAGGTATATTGTTTCTCCTCCTACTAAATAACTTGCCCAGAAACCAAAGGTCCCAATTGTCATGATTGTATGGTTACAACTAACCAGAAGTGCAAAATCCTTGCCAGGAGTTGATTCGTTACCATCACCAGAAAAGTAGACATCTCCTCTGGAATTGTCAATGTTTTCTTTACACCAATCCATCCCATTGCTGGTAACCACAAAAACAGGTTCTTTATATTTGTTGCGGAAATAATTCATGGCTTCCCACAAATAGCCTCTGTCTGCAATCACACCCTTCCAAACATTTGGCATGACACTCACATAGTCACCTCTTCGGACATGGACTCCAATGTATGTTGCATTTTTTCTGGAGCCTTTTATTGTCTCCAGGACATGGTTGGCTTCATTTTTAAGGTAGTCATGTACTGTAAGTTCCTTTCGGATTTCATTCCGTAGGTGGTGAAAAAACGTCCAAGAGCAAGGGTACCCTGTAAGTTTTATAAAACTACTTTCAATGTGATTATATTCTTCAGACATCCAGTCATGTATCCAGTATTCTTGAAATGGAACACGAATGGCAACGTTATTATGCAACACTGGCAGGGTGATCTTAAATATAGGAGCTAAATAGTTATGCATATCTGTAAGGATGAAGGCTTGGCGTTTGTTTGCTCTGGCCAAGGCATACAAGGTAGCATACTCCCCCATATGGTTACCTAACCTGCCATCAGGTTTAATTGTCCATATTCCAGCATTTCTGCACTTTGTTACAATTTCATTAGTACTTGAGTCTTGCTGATCTTGGTTTGGCGCCACAGGGTTGTTGTCTTTCTCAGGACAGATTATAGATATAGGCAAATTAACAGAAAAGTTTAAGAACTGTAAATGAAGCTTGCTGCAGTCTGTACAGAATAAAGAACACCACAGTTGACACAAAGATGCATCCTAGAAGAAGAATTTTCTTTTTCTTGTTGGGTAACTCCATCTTCATTTGGTATCGGTCCTGTACCTTGGACGGTAATAAAGGCTCATCCATAAAAAACCTAATGCCTGTTAGAAGAAAAAAGCAAGAAGTGAATATTTCATGTTGGGTGCAACTGAAAAAAAACAAACTCGATCCTGAGAAATACAATATAGAAGAATGTCTCATTTACGACATTTCCCCCAACTTATACGACTATTTCTCTGTCCTATATAAATCCCATCAAATTACTAAAAGTTATCAGATTTTAGTTTACTGCAATTTGTGATATGAATGCTATCTCATAAGTATATTGTTCTTAGCGTCACTGAACAAGCTTAACTATATTCATGAGTTATAGAAATTATTAAAAGGCAAACTAAAATAGAATTCAATAAAGTGGATAGTGAATGTAACAAGTGAATTGTGCCAACTCATAATGCTCATCCTTATGCTTGTATTCAACTTTAATAACCAGATCTCCAGCAGATTTCCTACCACTAGATAGTAACCCCATAGAGTTTTCGTTTACATATCTGAAACCCAAGGAGATAAAAGTGTAGGCCACAAATCCCAATTGGCTTGGATCACATATTACAAGTAGCACATGTTGGATATAAAAATCATTCAGCCACTAAAACAGACTAGACAATGAGTGCCCTCTTTAAATATATACTCTGGGACTGAAATTAGACCCTCCCACCTGGGCTGGGCAGTTCTGGAAAAGGAGGAGGGGCAAAGGTGTCATCAGAACATGCCAATAATAACAACAATAGAGAAAAACATCATTTGATGAAGTAAAAAAACATTAGAAACATTCAACGCATTACAAAACGCAGAACTGTAGTACATAATACTACTTATGAATACTCTGTGCCTCTAAAGACAAAGATTTGCCGAATGATCATACTGACAGCACACACAAAGCAAGTACATTCTGGGTGTTAATGAAATGTATGTTTATACTTACTTTTCATTAGGATTTATCTCCATGGAAAATCTAACAACTGAGTAGCCAGCAGGCTTTTAACTAAATTTAATAAAATTCTTTATTTTATTCCTAAAGATTTCTGCCTATTTAACAATAATAATGTAATTTCACTGAACCCCATCTTTGCTACATGTAGCACTACCAATATGGCATATATATATATATTATATATATATATATATATATATATATATATATATATATACACACACACACACACACACACACACACACACACACACACACACACACACACACACACACAATATCAACTCCATATGCTATATACACCACAGTTCTGTATTTTTTTAATGTGTTGCATGTTAATGTTTTTTACTACATCAGATGAAGTTTTTCTCTATTGTTGTTATTATTGGCATGTTCTGATGACACCTTTGTCCCTCCTCCTTTTCCAGGACTGCCCAGCCCAGGTGGGAGGGTCTAATTTCAGTCCTAGAGTATATATGGAAGAGGGCACTCATTGTCTAGGCAGCTCTGATGAAGAAGGGACTTCTTCGAAACGCGTCAGAGGACTTTTAGAGTCTTCCCTTGTGATAGGTCTCGCGCTGTTCTCACACTCCTAGAGTTTTGTTGAGATCTTGTACACTTGTTATACTTCTCTGTAAGTATATTTTTAAAGTCGATAAAATCACATTTTACTGAGGTAATGCACAAGGTAGGTGCACTTTTTTGTTTCACTTCACATATATTAGCTGGCCACAGGAGGGGGCAGATGTCGCTGAAAACAATGGGCAGGGAGTCACCTGCCTGCCTGTCTTTTTTCACACTGGGACCTGTCATTTGTGCACCAGTTGCCTATAGGATTGAAGCAGAACACAAGCATGGTTCTCTGCTTCTTTAGTGAGAGAAAAGGACTGAGCAGATTACTCAACTCAAAACCCTGGCTGGTTAAAGCAATTAACTTACAAAGTCCAAAGTTCATAAGTAAGAAGTGATTGCTTCCTCCCTAAAAGGTGTACCCATAAATAGCTTAATCAACTACCAAGCACTATATAGCATTCCAGACTTTGTTGCCCTGCAGTAATCAACCAAATTCTCCCATACTGCAAAAGAAAACCTGATAATGCAATCTTACCCAAAATTGGCCTTTTACTTTTGGTTTAACTTTTTGGGGTTTCTGGTAGCACTTTCGATTGACAATTTTGTTCTTTGCCGTGGCAATTACAAAGTTGAGTCTGCTATGTTCCCCTGCAGATATGTCCACATCTCCTCCATAAAAAAAAAAGGAATATGGGACCCTTGGATGGAATTTTGCTAGTTGTAAATACAGGATCATCTTTCTGATAAAGCTCATTTAAAGCAGGTACTTTTGTGAGTACAATGTAAGCAACTTCAGTTTAAAGGTGCACTCCAATCAAACATGAATATTGGGCATTTAAAAGCTGACTAACAAAGATCTAGTGGTAATAATACCTTCTATATGATGACACTGTGATGACTAGTGGGATTGAGTAGTGTATATCATATTGGTAATATTCATGGTAGAGCATATGGTGTACAGCAGTGATCTCCAAACTGCAGCCCATGGGCCAAATGTGGAACTTTGCTTGCCTTTATCCAGCACTGATATGTGGCACTATTCCTTACACTGACACCATTCCTTACACTGACACCAACAGTTGAGCATAATTCCTCGTACTGACACCACTGATGAGGCAATAGTTCTCCCATGGACACTATTGATGAGGCACCATTCTTTCCCCCAATACAAACAACTATTTCTCCCACTAATACAAGCGACAGGGCATTATTCCTCTACCTACTGGTTACAGGCACTATGTACATTTTTCTTTAATCCCAATGACTACCAAGCCCGAGCTAATGATGCTGGGGCATTTTCTACTCCCAATGGCCACAGTCGCCACCCCCCCCCCCCCCCATAAAATCTGAAGCATAGTAAACTGGCCCTTTTTTTAGAAAGTTTGGAGCCCCCTAGTGTACAGCATAGCACTCAGTGTGGAGTATGTAACATATACTGTGCAGTATACAGAGGCAGTCTGGTGTTAATCAGGTCCAGCACAGCATCACGAACAGCACTTTGTATAGATGAATGATGGGTTTGAACAATGTTACATAAAGCACAGCTGTGAAACACTTTGTCAGCTCAGCTCTGAGGAAGAGAGTTTGTCTCCCAAAACGCGTTGGCATAACCTGTCGCAAGACCACCATTTGCTGGGACTGTCACATTGGTTCCTTGCTTGTATACATGACTCTTGGTGTGTGAGTATATACTGTTGTCATTTTTTTTTTTATCCAAACTTTTTTTTTTTTTTTTATTGAAAAATGAAGTGAAATACAGGAGCAAAGAGCAGGGCAGTAGACAATCATACAAATGGGTACAAAAAAAAAAATGCATTATTCATATACAGCATACACAATAGGATTACATCTTTATAGCCCTTTGCTGCAGAGTTTTAAGATCACATCAGTCAAAATTTTACAGAGTATGTAGAGGTTGAGTAGAGGAAACAAAAGTCAGAGAAAGAAAAAGAAAGAAAAGAAGAAGAACAGAACACACAACAGGAACGATAATAACAGTTGCAGGTGTTCCATCAAGTTCCATTTCAACAATCAACTAGCCTTAATGTATTAGATTTGTAAAAGCCTGTTATCAATCTTGGAGGTGCCAAGCCAGGCATATCTAACCAGTTCTGCCAGATTAGCTCAAATTTACATGGGGCATTACAGTGACGATAGGCAATTTGTTCTCATAAAAGGAAAGAATTAACATACTCCACCCAACATTTCTTAGAAGGTATTGTACTAGACAGCCAATATCTAGCTATTAGTTTTCTTGCTAAATACAAGAGACAAGTAATCATGATATAGATACCCGGAGAGTACAGCTCAGGGTCCAGCGCTCCCAATAGACACGCTAATGGATCCAAAGGGACAGGAGTCTGGGAGATGGAAGACACAACCCCAGAACATCCGCCCAATATCTTTCTAATTTTGGACATTTCCAAATCATGTGTATAAAGTCCCCTCAGTGTGCCATACACTTTGGGCACAAAGGTGTATCTCTCCTGCCCCATTCAAACAATCTAACCGGTGTTTGGTATGCCCTGTGAAAGATAAATATTTCTGTCATTTTCAATAAATTCTATTTTATCATGGTAATGCACGAGGAGAATGCACCCTTTTTTGTTTTTTTCCAGTAACTGCCACATTAGTTAAAGCTGGACATAGACAAGGGATGGCTGTCACCTAATCCTGACAATTTTGGCCTGATCAAATGACAACCTTATGTCTATAGAATGAGAAGTCACCCACCAGCTGACTGCTGCTCTCAAACTGACAATGTGTAAATAATCTAGCTATTAATGCTCATTTATGGACTTTCTGACTTTATTCAAGAATAGGTCATGTTAGCAGTTTTTTTTATTTTACCCAGGGTGCAAATCTGAGAAAGGGGTCTTGTCAAGTTATAGTTTTGTTTGATATTAAATGCAATGAGAATTTGGCAAGAATTGTTTTACTAGTGGGGACATGGAGAGGCAATGAGCCTTTTTTTTTTTTAAAAAAAAAAGGAAAACGCATTAAAAACGCATTTGCAAAAATGCAAAACGCGCCGCAAAAAAACTGCAAAAACAGATCACACACACACACACGCTGCATAGGGGTGAACCTAGCCTTAGAGCCTTATCTGGAATAAATTAGCCTCAGAACCTATGTAATTAATATGTGTATGGGTTTAAAGGGATGTGGTGGCAATCCTACTCCTAGAAAGCATTC